ACTCCTCCGTCCGCGCAATTTTAGCAAAAAGGGGTACAAAGTTTCGGCTTTACGTATTAATATATAAATTAAGAAACTATTCTTTATTGAAAAAAAACAATTTATGAGCTCCTTGAAAATATTTTATTATGTCATAAAATACTAGTCTTAATTTATGATAATAATATTATCGATGTGCCAATTACAAAAGTTATGTTGGTAGCGCATTTATTATCCGGGTACCAGCCATATTAGTTGCGGTGGCGAACTTCCGGTGCAGCATTATGCACTTACACGGCTTCTGAGTGATGGGCCGTGCGCGTCTCTGTATGCATAGCTAGCTTTATGTACATTCACTCGCAATAAACTGAGCGATAAAGCTTCGTAACTTTATTACAAATCTCCTTGAAAACGCAATGAATAAATTAACATTTTGGAACAATTCGAATGCAAATAGAGAATGGTTGGTTTTGGCTCCATGAATAAAACTAAAGCTATTAAATAATGACAGTTTAAAGATTTTTTTCCTTGATAGATATATGAAGAATACAAAAAAAAAATTACAGGAAAAAATATTTGTAATAAATTTCCGTTTTTAGAAATACTACCATGATAATATTGATGAATCATTATTCGTGCTTTAACAAAAACATCATCGATCCATAAATTGCTGGAATAACATTAATAAATTGTCAACTGACAACTGTAATTCCGAAGAAATGGAAAATTGGAAGCTAGCGTCTGAATTCATTCAATTGATTTCCATGATCCATTCCCACAACTCTACCAATTGATTTGTAAAAAAAAAACGAGAAAACTCATCCCGTTTCTTAATTAAAGAAACAATGGTGCCATAAATATCAAAGCGTCACGTTTCAAACAATTACTGGCAAGTACGAAGATTCGAAACGAGACGAAAAGGTAGAAAAAGTATTTAGTAGGCGTAAGGCGTGGGTATGGGAAAGTTCACACGTGTTTATCTGTGCCGATCCTACGCGGCATAGTATCGAACCGTAGCATAGTGGCGAGCGAAGCGGGTAAAATTTAAATTAAAGACTTATGGTTCCGCAACTAGTAAATAATCTGGTAACACATCGTGCTCATCACTTTAAGAATACTATAAATACTATAAAATAATACTATAAAAAAAGAAGTCGTTGAAGTCGTCGTGGCCTAAAGGATAAGACTTCCGGTGCATTCGTGTTAAGCGATGCACCGTTGTTAAATTATTTTTTTTTTTATTGCTAGATATGTGGACGAGCTCACAGCCCACCTGGTGTTAAGTGGTTACTGGAGCCCATAGACATCTACGACATAAATGCGCCACCCACCTTGAGATATAAGTTCTAAGGTCTCAAGTATAGTTACAACGGCTGCCCGGGTGGGGCACCCGTTGTAACTATACTTGAGACTTCAAACCGAAACGCAAATCCCAGGCGGGTACCAATTTTCTAACGAAATACGTACTCAGCAAATGTTCACAATTGACTTACACGGTGAAAGAATAATATGGTTTAAAAAAAATTCAACCCGCAAAATTATAATTAGCGTAATTACTGGTGGTAGGACCTCTTGTGAGTCCGCGTGGGTAGCTACCACCACCCTGCATAACTTTTCTGGAAACATTTTGCAGCAAAGTGGTTGATGGTCAAACTGTCCTTAACAAACAAACAATCCTTAGTTCGCGAATGAGTGATACATAAGATGGTGGAAAGGAGAAGCAAGTAACACCTCCATTTGTATCCCGGATCACTCCCGGTGTAACAGTCGTCAGAATATTCTCAGAGTTAATTGGCTACTTTGGGTAATGGCATGCCGAACGCTTCCAAGCTGTCCGTGCGATGGGGATCATAGGGGATTCACACAGGTCGGACGGAGTTAAATGAAAGCAGTTTGCCTCTGAGAACACTAATAGAATTAAACACTATACGTGAAACCAAAATGAGAATTACAGGGATTTATAAATCAGAGGTTTCTAGGGCAATTGTTGGAGGCTAATTTAGCTCTTGCCTTCAAATAACGCTCACGTTGCGCTTTGAGAACGTAATCACTTTACAATAAGTACCGTTAAAATAAAAGTAAGAATATTAAAGTGTGAAAAAAATAATAATCGCTACCGCTATTCCAATGCATTTTTACCTAATCTGACGCTATAGGGAATATAATATCACTTGCCGTAAAGCTGTACAACTGTACAGATTATCATATGTTTATAATATTTAAAAAAACTATGACTTACTACCCATATATTTCAATACTGTAGGATGGAAGGTTTAAAATTATTTGTATATTTTTCATATATTTAGACAATTAAGTAATCAAGAAGCGATCATTTTACCAAAACAGCCACAAGTTCAAATGTGTATGGTGTATTTTTAAAGAGGTTTATATTTTATGTAGCGTATTTATCTCTACATTATTTTCTGTATATTATTATTAATCTATGTACCGTAAAGCCCTTTCATTAATAATATTTAAAGAAAAGACATTTAGAACAAACAAATTTCATGGAATATCAAAGTGTATCTAAATCCCCTCCACAGCTAAGCTTAAGGTAACCAACCACCTACCCGCCACCGCTTTAATCGGCCCACACACCGTCGGTAGATAGGATTATATTAATACGGACAATGTAAACACTTCGCCCATAAATTGTATGCCAAAAAATGATCATTTGAAATTAAACGAATCCTACCGAAAATATAGCGAATATTTTTACAATCCTTTATTGGAGTCAAGTTCAAAGCAGAATTAAAAATTCCGCCACAGAACATGGATATTTAAAATAAAAAAATAATAATTAAAATTTAAAAATTTAACATAATAAATAATAATATATAAATAATAATTAATAATTAATTAAAACTAATAAAAAAACTAAAATTTTTAAATTAAAAATTTTAATTTAATTAAAATTAACGTTTATGAATCGCGTTTGAAGTAAATAAAACAAATTAAGATGAAAATGTACGTCTTCTAAATGTAATTACTAAATAATTTGATTAGCACTATCATTGAGTTAAATTGAAAGAAGAAATATAAGAGCGTGAGTGTGAGAGAGATTTTCTTACGTTTTTAATCGTAACATTTATATTTCGATGTACAAGAAACATTTAGGATTCAAAGTCGAATAAAGAAGGAATAAATTAAGGAGAGGGCTGCTCTGAATCAAGAGCTACTTCTTTTTATTACGAAGAGAAGCAGGTATAGGGAAAGTCGAAAACACTTTAGTCTTCATTACTATCTTGATAAATTTAATAATTTCATGCTCATGAAGGTCAAGGCATAAGGACATCGACATGCAAGCGACTGATTAAGATACATGTTGAACATGTCAAGGGAAACGTGTTTAAGTGGAGACGGAACGTTTTTAAAATGTTTTTTTTTTAATGCCGAGAGCACCCGAAACGTGTTGATGCATGTGCTTGTGTCTTTTTAAAGTCCGCATTTTGAATTCCACAAATTCGGTAATTATTTCAAATTGACGGTAAGTCTACTGGTACTACAGTGTAGTAGAAGCCGTTATTCTTCGGTAGATATTCGATTTAAAATGTTACAAAAAATCCGGTCACCCAAAAGCATCCGGACACCCATGAAAAAAAAAATGGTACGTTCTTACGAATGCAAAAAGACCGCGTAAAACATCCGCGCAATTGGCACCGGCGACGCGGCTTGCTATTTCCATTCGGCAGACAGCTTGGCGCGCAAATGTCAGATACTCAGCGGGTACAACCGGAATTCGTGTCAGGATGTTTACGGAGATTTAAGGGGAACGAAATTATTAAATCAACATTACAAGGCCTTGACGCCTAGAGTTTCTGAACTATTTTATTTTCGACTAGGCCTCCGACGAATCCTTGGGTTTGACTTTATTTTATTATCTATTTTATTACCATTATATATCCCGCCTCATCGGGATTTAGTTTTATTTACTAACTAGCTGTACCCGTCCGCTTCGCTGGGTATTTAAAATTAACATTATTATTTCTCACCCCCACAAAGATTTTCATCATTAACGCCCCCGCAACTGGTTTAGGAAGTCCAACACTCATATAAATATTAGCCTATCCATTAAGTACATGTATTTTCTACATGAATATCAAGTTTCAAGTCAATCGGGTGCATGGTTCAGTAGTTATAACGGAACATCCGTAAAAACCACTGTAGATTTATATATTAGTATAGAGTATAGATTAACTAGTAAGATAATACAATTAGATAATTAAGAATTGATAATGTTCCCGATTTGCCTTACGAATAATAAGTCTTCAATCAACACAATCTTTATTCTTTGACTTTTGTGATTTAACAATATATTTAAATAGTAAAAGTATAGTATTTGTAAAAAAGTTTGATTGTCGTATCCTATTCGTTATACGATATTGCACCGTAAAAGTGTTCTTCGTTTTTCTAGAACAATTACATTATTCGCGTGATGTGTTTATATCACATGCAACTAAAATATTCCTAGTGATGTCGCACCAGTTAAAAAAAGTACACAAGTCACGGATTCAATTAAGTAATCCGTATTATGATTTGTGTATTTCTTCAGTTTATTGTACATCTTTGTAGTGTCGTCGAACTCAAAACGTGACTTAGTACACGGAAATTCCTATAGTTTAACATTTACAAAAATTTATATTCCGCGATGACTCTTTGTGATTGGCAAGAATTTTTTACGTTTGGGAAATCTTTTCATATTTCTGTTATTCATTCTCAAGATAGGTATTATGTTTCACAATGAAAACGGAATCAACACTGCTTAATAGTGTTGATTCTCTTTTTTCAACTATTACGCATTTGGATAAAATATCTGGGCATTTTTTTTTATTTTTTATTGCCCTAGTAGACAGACGAGCATACGGCCCATCTGATGGTGAGTGGTTACCGTCGCCCATGGGCTTCAGCAATGCCTGGGGTAGAGCCAAGCCGCTGCCTATCGCTAAATATTCTAGAGGGCATTCTAGAGGCACAATCTTCATCAAATATGGAAAACTGGGTTATTCATACAAACATCTTACCTGGCCAAGGAAATATCTCCTGTAGTATGTGGCGGTTTCATCGGTGTCGATGTTGTGCCGTCTATTGGACTGCCGCGGGGTCCCAGGCTGCGGCCTTGGCGCGACTTCCTCGCCATCATGTGGACTATCGTCAACTCCGTCTACCCAGTAACCTCCACTTGGAGGTAGAACTATGGTCGGTGGGGTTCCTGAGAACAATATTTTTGACTTAAAAATATCTATAGTTAGACGATCGTGGCTTAAGAATATTTATTGATTAAGCGTATCTTTTTTTTTCTAATGGCAATTTAGAATCAAATTTATTGCTTTTAATGCAATAATTAGCTGCATTTTTTTCCAAAAATCTTCGGAGTAAGGAAGTCACGAAAACACAGTATTCATTCTTTCAAAGCCTTAAATATCTGGTCGTCACTGCCAAGGCCGAATGATCAGTTAAGCTTTTGTGAAAAAATTTACAATAAAGTTAAAGCCCCCTTTAAAGCTTTTCCATCACTTTTTAATAAGTTTTAAAACAGAAAACCATTGATGACGAAACTTAAGTTTCCGACTTTGCCAAATCAGTGCCAAAGTCAAAAAAATACAACCAATGTACATTAGACGAAAAATGAGCTCTTAGGTGCAATTAAAAAAATATTTTTTTCTAAAATCTTTACTTATTTTGTCGTACAGCAATAAATGTAAAGTTCGCCTTTGAATATTTTTTTTAGTAAAATAAATCTAGCCGTCGTATAGTTGATCACGGTTTAATAACATTTTCTTCATAACGTATTACGCTACAAAATAGCGTAGAGCTGTCCTTTTGAGCATACCGCTAATTCCGAAACTCCAGACAGCTTTGTGCGGGAGAAATTTTTACATTGCCTTCAATACGTCCAAGCTTCATTGTTCTCGGGCTTTCGTCGTCTCTATTAAAGGCGAGTAATGCGGAAAAACCGTTCTGTTCATACAACGGACATTGTTTTTATGCGAAACACATATAAGTAGATATTTGTCATTTCTAACTTCAAAGTGAAATTCTTAGTAATGTATTACAGATACGTATCAAGCCTTTTTTATGATAAGACTAGCTGACTCGGCAGGCTTCGTAGTGCCTCAATCGATAAATAAAAGACCTAATCTTTTGTGTAAAATAAAATTAAAACAAACAAAAGGAATCCGTCCGACGGGGGAACATCAAAGGAAAAACAAAATTGTTATTTTTATTTAAATCCGAGCATTTTCATATTTATCTAAATCCTTTTAAACCTTCTCTGGACTTCGACAAATAATTCAAGACCAAAATTAGCCAAATCGGTCCAGCGGTTCTCGAGTTTTAGCGAGACTAACGAACAGCAATTCATTTTTATATATACAGATAGATAGATTTGTTTAATTGTTGATAACTTCTCTAAACATTACAGTATTGGCAACTGAAGTAGTCGTTAAAAAGGTAGATTGATATCTCCGATGTGAAGATATTATTATTAAACTGTAACGGCTATTTATTTGTGCTTTAGACATATTTCAATGATTTATCAAATTAAGTGAGGTAACAAGATGATCTAGCTATATCTAATTAATTTATATTTCGACTTTGTAATTATAACATTAAACTACATGTGATGAATTCATTGGTTCATTGAATATTTCTAGCTGCTTAGCAAATGTAACACTTAGTAGTAACACTTAGCAACCATTTATCACATTGCAAAGTTTGAAACGTGAGCCACGTTCTAGAAGTCTATTCAACATTCTGCAATACCTTGATTTCCCAAGATGGTGTCGCGCCTGGTTGACATTCATTTAATTAATGTTTTAATCAGCTAACTAAAGCTAGGTAGTATGTACTTTAAAGATCGCTTTCTCAATCATCCAACAAAAGTTGATCACAGAATAAAAAAATTAAATAAATTACATAATTTCACTTTTACGCAATATTTAATTTAGCTGATAGGTAAAAACAGTTTTAGTTTTTTTTTAACTCAAAAAGGAATTTTTGAAAGTTTAAGTAGTCCATTTATAGTTAAGCTTAACAAAGCTTTTTTCGATCTTTAAGATTTCTCGAATATTTTTAAACATAAAGACTTTCGTAGATAATTTCAAAGAGCACTTTCACACATTCATTCTCAACATTTTCTATACTTTCACTGAGAATAAGCAATGCCGAAAGTTATCTAATAAAGGTTTTCTTTGTTACTCACAATTCAATTGCGTAGTATCCAGTTTGTCTTTTAATATAAAAATTGAATTTATTATATTTTTTTAACTTCTAGTGTATAAATTGTTGATGTAGCCGATTATTGGTCTCAAAGTCTCAATCGTCATGTTTATCGTGTCGTACAATGACTGTCTTGCAGGCTAATTTGAACTTAACGCGTTATATGTATGTTGCGTCATAATAATATGCATAATGAAGACCAGTATGTAAGTAAATTTGCGCAATTCTCGTCATTACAACCGGGTCAATATACTTTGAACGAGCCGTTTTGGTGAAGCTACATATTAATTTAATATTCTGTAACGGAGCTCATGAATAACTTAGCACAATTTTAATTATTATTTACTCTCTAATATTTCAGTTGTCTTATTTTTTATCCTTAAATGTGGCCTAGATACGATATTTGTACGGCCTTTTCATGGACATCATCGACATTGATACTTATGTATTTAATTCTTATGATTAAATCTTAAAAAAACGTAAGTTTTTTTTTATTTTTATTGCTTAGGTGGATGGACGAGCTCACAGCCCACCTGATGTTAAGTGGTTACTGGAGCCCATAGACATCTACAACGTAAATACGCCACCCACCTCGAGATATAAGTTCTAAGGTCTCAGTATATTTACAACGGCTACCCCACCCTTCGAACCGAAACGCATTACTGCTTCACCTACCCGTGCGGACTCCCAAGAGGTCCTACCACCAGTAAAGTTGCCTTTTTATTTTACTTTAGGTCTTTGTAATTAGTAGTAAGGCGTTTTGAAGGCGCTAATGAGTAGGTTTCAAGCACTCGCCTGCTTCTGCCAAGAAATAATGTAGTGCTGTGTATGCAAAAAATAATACATGGTTAAAAAAATTGTTATCTAATGCATTTTACTTTTAGTTTCAAAATAGACGGTGCCATGTGCATAATCATGTCCTATGTGTTCCCAGAACTATTAAACACAGAACAGCCTGTAATCTATTTATTTGTCGATCCATACTAATAATTACCTACTGGTGGTAGGACCTCTTGGGAGTCCGCACGGGTAGGTACCACCGCCCCGCCTATTTCTGCCGTGAAGCAGTAATACGTTTCGGTTTGAAGGGTGGGGCAGCCATTGTAACTATACTGAGACCTTAGAACTTATATCTCAAGGTGGGTGGCGCATTTACGTTGTAGATGTCTATGGGCTCCAGTAGCCACTTAACAACAGGTGGGCTGTGAGCTCGTCCACCCATTAAAGTAATAAAAAAAAATTTACTAAATCTAATAACAGAAAAACGAACCTCAATTAACTTACCAGGCTTCGAAAGAATCTCTTCCAGGAGCCTCTGACTGGCCTGACAAGCAACCGCTGGAGATAGTGGAAGTCCTGAATACTGTTTGTCTCTAGTGGAACTTCCCACGGGCACCGAGTGACGGTTCTCCGGCCGGGTAACCTACAGAAAAGAAAATCATAATATTAATACGCTTTTATTAGTTTCAGACGTATGTGTGTAACGGGATCTTTGAACATGATTTTGACCTCCTTCAAAACGTCGCATTAACTCGAAATTTAGTATACTTATTCAGGAGGAAGGACCGATGACAATTCAACGTTTAAAAAAAAATTAAAAAAAAATTAAACAATTTAAATTCAACTAAAATATTATATCAGTAGTTATAAATATTTTATGAACAGATATGAGTAGAAGGGTTATTTTGATAATATCCTGAAAAGCACCCCACGCTTTTTTACAATAAAATCATTTTTTCGTACACTATTTTTAATTCAAATTTATTAAAATTTATTTTCTATTTTTCAGTTGGATTTTCTATAAAAGCGTATTTTGTTAGTTTTTTTAAACTATTATTTATTTTTCAGTAGGATTTTATCTAGTATAGTAAACACGATAAATGTCACAGCATATCTGGTTTTAATAAACCACAGAAACTAATTAACAGTACAACGTGCATTTGGCCGAAGCCTTTAGTTACTGTGGCACCGTTGCTATAATAATGTAGCAGCACATTGTTGTTTAATGCCAGTGGCAGCGGCTTGCCTCTGCCACTGGCATTGCTGACGTCCATGTGCGACGGTAAGTACGGTAACCACTTACCATCATGTGGGCCGTATACTCTGCCTACAAAGACAATAAAAAAAAGCACATTTGTGATCGATACTCTTCATATTTTTTTCCACGTTATCCCACTAGGTGGGGTCGGCACAGCAAATTTTTCTATTTCATTCTCTTCTATCGGCCGTCATCTCAACACTCACTCCTCTCTTTCTCTCTCATATCGTCATTCACACAGTCCATCCATGTTTTTTTCGGTCGACCTCTTCCCCCTCTGCCTTGGCACCAGCATTTCCATACATCTCCTAGTCACATGCATCTTCTCTCTACGCATCACACGCCAACCGTCCGCTTTTTTATTTGTTAATTACCGGGGCTACTTTCACACTTCCTCTACTACTAAATATATAACAAGCCTAAAATTCATATACACCACAAAGACTTAATATTTTTTGAAACCAATATATGTTTTTTTTTATTGCTTAGATGGGTGGACGAACTCACAGCCCACCTGGTGTTAAGTGGTTACTGGAGCCCATAGACATCTACAACGTAAATGCGCCACCCACCTTGAGATATGAGTTCTAAGGTCTCAGTATAGTTACAACGGCTGCCCCACCCTTCAAACCGAAACGCATTACTGCTTCACGGAAGAAATAAGCGGGGTGGTGGTGCTTACCCCTGCGGACTCACAAGAGGTCTTACCACCAATAATTACGCAAATTATAATTTTGCGGGTTTCATTTTTATTACACGATGTTATTCCTTCACCGTGGAAGTCAATCATGAGCATTTGTTAAGTACGTATTTCATTAGAAAAATTGGTACCCGCCTGAGATTCGAACACCGGTGCATCGCTAGATACGAATGCAACCGACGTAATTTCATCAGTAACTTACTACATTTATATTTATATTTATACACATGATAGTATTTTCTTCGGTTTTCGCGACACGTAGACGTAATTCGAATACCGACGACTATTCGTTAGTTACCACGAAAACTATGAAGTATTCAAAACGTTGAAAAAAGTTTACGGGCAATAAAAAACGCGAGATAATAATACCGTAAAAGTATTTTTAATTATGTGATCATGATTTGATTTTCCGGTATTATCTTAATTTGTTAGCATTATACTTTTTTGTGAATTTTGTGAATTATATAATTCAAATACCGACGACTATTCGTTAGTTACCACGAAAACTGTGGAGTATTCGAAACATCCGAATGAATATACGGGCAATAAAAACGCGAGATAATACTACCGTAAAAGTATTTTTCATTATGTGATCATGATTTGATTTTCAGGTATTATCTTAATTTGTTAGCATTATACTTTATTGTAAATTTTGTGAATTAACCAACTGGAATTAGTACGGGTTAATTTCATTTAATTAGTCAATCTTAATTCCCACAAATCACATTTACAGTCGCTTTTGAATGCACAGCGGATTACCCCAATTTGAATGAAGCGTAAGGAGAGCTATTGAAATCTACTAATAGACTAGTTTGTTGGTCATGAAATGCGATCTAAATGGATTGCTTTTGGTTTAGTTGAAGTGTTAGTAGAAAGGAAGCTAATTCAGGGCTATAGACGGAGACGTAAGTAGCCGTGACGAGGTTGGCGTCCATTGAACTCATACCGTGGGATTCCATTGCTACTGTTTGTAACTGTACTGACCCATAATTGTCAAGCGGTAAATTAAGTTATGGAAACTATCGGAACTAGAGCGCGGAACGTCCAGAGGTGTCAATAATAATTTAAGAATTAATTTACTGTTCACAGGCATGTAGTTTTTTAGAAGCGACAAAAGATGTGCACGTAAATTTAATGATCTATTATAACTAATGATTAGCGCTTTCGTGTCGCATTTCAAATCCCAAAAAAAGAGTATTTGTATATTTGTTCATGAACTACGTATTTCAAAAAAAAAAATCATATTTTTTTTGTAAATCTTTATTTAAATGCGTAGACGTGTGATCAATCACAAGACCGACTTAGTGTAATGTTGATACCGGAGTCCGTGGTCATCATAACTTGAATACCGATACCCGCTCTGGTGTAAAATGAAAAATTAATTACGTAGCTCATCCGTCCCAACCAATCAAATCGGAACGCATAACTACTTCGCGACAGAAAAAGGCGTGATAGTAGTACCTATCTTTATAAAATTACAATACACGATTTTATTGTTTTATCATGGAAGTCATTCGCAAATACATGTTACATACTTTCATTACAAAAAATGCCCAGTCGTTTTGCTCGATATCAGTACACTGACGTCTTTTTGGCCACGACTTCAGAATTAATTTTATTGACTTTAAATTTAGTATAGTGGACAGTACCATCAAAGTCAAAATTTAGACCAGTTGATCGGTTGTTTTTTGTCCCGTCTGTTGCTTTAGAGTATGTATGTATGTAATGCTTAAGTTTGTAAATATGTGAAGTATGTAAATAATGCAAAATCCATAATAATCAAACCAAAATATTGAAATATGTAGTACAAAATTTAAATACACAAAATCGTCTGCCTATCCTGCACTTTATAGAAAAATACACATGTGGCAAAGAAAAATATTCGGCCCGTTTACATTGGCAACGTTGGTAGGCCGGTCAAATTTACCGTAGCCCTGTAAAAAACTATCGGAAGATTAAAATTAGACACTGACGGAAGCATTAGCTGAACTGTTGACGGTGACTCGTAACAAGTAGCGTGGAAAACTTCGAGCGAATTCCACTTTGATCAAATTAATCTGACGTCACGCTGTGGCCATGTTTACTTGCACGCACGCAACCACTGGAATCAAATGTTGGAACGCTGGTTGGAATTTACAGCAGTGCCAAAACTAAGCGAATTAGCTGCCACGACCCTAATTAGAAATTCTGCGCGTCCGATTTCGAGGGTGAACCACACAACTGAGCAGATAGAACTGTTTACTAGCTACAAATCAAGAAAACCCAACATTGGAAATGCATTAGGTAAAAAACCTAACAACCTATTGCTAATTAAATTTATGAAGATCCAAGTTGTTTAATTATATATTGTTCATTAATAAGCTTAAACTCGACAGCAGAGTACTGGAACGATATAACTTTCTATGGTCTAAATGTATTACTAGTTATTGATTAAGATCTCTAAAATATATTGACACCAGAAGCATTATGTCTAATCATATTCTAGTGTGTAACCATTCAGATATGTAAACAGCCTTATTTAAAGTGCTTCGTCAGCGCTACTGTCTTGTAACTAATTATACCTTTTTACACAATAAACCGGACCTTCAAACTAAATGGATTTCAACTTTTCTGATCTATCGTGACCAGACCACACCACAATATACTTTGGAAATAATTTATGTATATAATTTTAAAACTTAAAAATAGGTAATAAGCTGAAGCAACAATTAATTTAATAATTTTTATCCTGTTTTACTGGTTTTACTGGTCGGGATATTAGAGCCAAGTTAAAAATTTATCGTATCGTCATCGGACCTCGATGCGCGGGCATATTTTCAAGTTAATCAGACATTTCAATTCCGTGAAAATGAAGTTTCAAAATTCTGTTAAATACACACAAATAAACATATCTTATAATATATGCCGAGCTAATAAAAAGGTGTTGAAAACCGTTTTTAAACTGCCTCATATTATGTAGTTTTAAATTTTATCTTGTACCTCAAGTCCAAATTTTTTTCTTTTCTTTTATTAAATATGTGCTTCTCTAAGATTTTAGATGGTACTGATATATATCTTTAAAACAAGTCAAGATTTAAAATGTTCAAGAACACGTGGATAATATGTAATCATTTCCGGCCAAGGTTAAATCCAATTAGGCCGTTGTGAAACTTGCGTAAACCACAGAAACCAGACACATCTGAAAGGTTTCATTGGAACCGAATAAACTGGTCTAATTATAATAGATTTATTAAGTTATTTAATTAATTTATTATTTCAATTTATACCATTGAAAGTAAGACTAATATCTTAAAGATGGCAGACCTTAGTAGCTGAACTGAACTTATGATCAACTTTGCATTAGAACTCACAGACGTCACAACTTAACTGTCGTCACCAAGTTTAAGACGTAAGATGCAATATTCAATTGTGATATAACAAGCCTGTACTAACCAACACCAATGATTCCTTCTAGTGGGAATAGTCAAGACAGTGTCACATACAAGCGTTTTCAATAAGTCCTAAAACCAGAAATACATTCAGTCAAAAAGTATCGGAAATTGACGATTTGGTTATGGTTTCAAAGTCTTGTTTTTTTGTTGTTTTTGTTAAATTGTTATCTCTATTTTCCATTTTGGCGCAGAGTTTGTTTTGCATCTGTTATTTAGATCCAATACAGTGCTGTTTTCAGTGATACCATATCTCG